TCGGTCACGTTATCTGACTCCACCAGAAGTGGGTTAATTGGTTCGCTGATGACGATAAGCGTATCTTGTAGTTCAAAGTGCGTAGCGCGAGACCTAGAACAATGTAGAAGTTTAAGCTGACCCTGCCCCATAGACACACGAAAACTAAACTGCAGATTTTTTATTTCATTTTACCAGTTAAAGCTCTTTTTCAGACGTGATCTGGCCACAAATAATAGCTCAACGAAGCGGCTTATCACGTGGAAATTTATAGCAGCAGCCAAATGCTCTCGACGCATGATTCTAAACGTGGAGGAAAAAAACCGGAGGATCCGGAGAAAAATCCACGGAACCAAGGGGGGAACATGCAAACTCCAAATATACAACAGGCGTCAGGGTCGGGATCAAACCCAAGACCGCCTGCATACCAAGCGAGGTAGTTAACATCTCACCACCGCAAGGGAACGCAATGACCCTATACGCCACTTCTACAGCTGTTTAAAGTTATAAGCCGCGACTTGTGCCATATTTCAACTCTCTAGTAATTTCAAAACACCTTTCGAATTGACAGCAGTCGTTCAGTCACAATCATTTATAGGCCAACTAATTATTTTATCCGGGAAAGACCTTCCCTGAGTCTTTACGTCTCTTTCAGGACGGTATTTGCATCGGAATGTTTGGCCAAGTAAATAAGTATTTGGCTCCATGTGGGAGGAAACCTGAGGACCGAAAGAAAGCCCACCACGAAAATGGGAGCTAAGTCTGACCAGGTCACCTCGCAGTCCCTTGTCCACTATATACTGTGTGTGTGTGTGTGCATATAACAGTAGTGTAGGGAGCGGTAGTGTAGCGGTTAGCCCGCTGCGCTACGAACCCGGCGACCCGAGTTCGATTCCCGCTCACGTCCAACACCGGTGACGATGATCTGAACCGGTACTGGGCCTCCTCTAGGTCGACTCAGCCTCAAAGTAGTACTTGGTGCCGTGTGTAAACATCGCCACTGGGGAGACAAAGCCGGCCGGGTGTGGTGCTGGCCACCCACCCCTTGTGTGCGTTTCGGCCTTCAAAGCACTTGCCCCAACAGTCTGTTAACGCTATACGGGGGATTTTTGTCTTTGTATATAACATCGATTCCCGCTCACGGCCACCAACACCAGTGCCAATTATCTGAACCGGGCATGGACCTCCCTTAGGTTGACTTAGCCTCAATTGAGTATCTTGCGAGATGCGTAAACATCGCCACCGTTGCTGGCCATCCCGCCTCTTTTTGTTGTGCAACATGTGAGATTACAGTGGGAGACTAGGCCGTCCACGCCAACGACTTTAGAAGCGCCTTGCCTCGTCAGGTCCCGGAAGCCAAGCAGGACTAAGCCTTGCTGATATTTAGATGGGTGACCACCACTACCACCAAGGGCTTCAGAGACCTTGTAGGCGCGGGGTCGTGAGGTGTGGCCATGAGTTGTCAGTGCTGGGTGTCACCTCGTACGCGTGGTGGGTTTCCTCCGGGTACTCTCTTCGTGTTTCTTCCACGTGGTGAAGCCAAACAACTCATTCATAAATAAAATCCCAGGGGGTCGGCAATCTGCGGGATCCAGAGCCGCATGGGTCTCTTTAAGGACTGCTTCGTGACGTCATTTATTAAGGGACCCATCGTCTCGCATTCACCATGTGCCTTGCGTGGCTCTTGAAATATTGAAGGTTCTTTTTTTCCGAAATCGAAAAAATAAAACGGCTCTTCTCACTTATTTTGGTTGCCTACCCTTGAACTCGCCAAACATAACAACACAGGACCCTCCTGAAATCAATAAAAACCTTGAAATTCAGCGACTATTTCCAGGATAGTTAATTTCCATTTAACCTCGCAGCGGGGTGGAGCGGTGGCGCAGTGGTTAGAGCACTGCGCTCTGAACGCAGCGACCTAAATTTGATTCTAGGCCACGGCTTATATCAGTGGCGAGTGATATCTGAACCGGCCCTACCCCGGCCCCATTCCCAACGCGCTCTAACCAGCATGGTCAAGTATGATGAAGTAACCCCCGTGATCTATAATTCGTGGGGGAAGGGGGGGGGCTTCATCCAGCAGTGGCATGACGAAAGAGCTACACGTAAATTAGCATACGCATCATACACGTGGATGTCTGGGAGCAGCGGGTGTCTGGGATGCTGCACGTGTGATGCGTGTTGCTGATGCGTGCCCTCTGATGGGGGAGCGGTAGTCTCGTGGTTAACGTGACGCACGATGAGCTCAGCCACCCTGAAGCCGTCCGAACCTACCCTGGGCCTCCCCTATATTGATTGATCATTAAACGCACGAGTACCTTGGTCCGGTCAAAACATCAGCACTGCGGAGACAAAGGTGGCCGGGCGTGGTGCTAGCGAGCCACAAGACTCCCTGGTGCGCCGCGCTGGCCTTCATAAGTACAGCATTGGCCCAACCAGCTGACGTAGGCTACTCCTGGGGGGATATTTGCGCGTCCTAATTCGTGTGTCCTATATTTACACACAGTCATAGCCTACACAGTGCGGAGCTGACGATAGCTGGAGAGGGTGGGGGGAGTGGAGAGAGTGAGGTGGTGTGTGAGGTGTCAGGGCTGGAGATGCGAGATGGAGAGAGTGAGGTGGTGGTGAGATGTAGCGGTTAGAGAGGGAGCTGCTTAGCGATCGGTGAAGTGGCAAGGGTTTTAGAGGGAGGTGGTAGAGAGAGAGGAGGAGGAGGTGGATGAGGTGTAAGGGTTGGAGAGGGAGGTGGACAGAGATGAGGTGGTGGTGGTGGTGAGTGAGGCGTAAGGACTGGGAGATGGGGGTGGAGAGAATGTGGAGGAGGTGGTTGTGGGTGAGGAGGTGTGTATGGGTCGTCATGTGGGAGACGTCTCTCTCATTGCACGCCTCTGTCCCCATGGCAGCAGGGCTGCACGTTCCTCTCCACGCTTTGAAACGGCGTCGTCCCAGTACTGACGTCAGCACGGACCCCTCGCGTCTTCTGGCACCCCCCCTCTCCCCCCTCTCTTCCCCCTCTCCCCTCCTCTCTCTCTGCCATCTCCCACGCTTTGCACATGATGTGGATGAGATGTCCATTGCTGGCGGGCTCTCCCGCAATGGCAGGTTGAGGCTGCAGACAGACGCGTATCGTCGACGTCTTTGTTGTTATTGTTGCTGCTATTGCAGAGAACCTCCGCGCACATCCATCAAGTCATCCAGCTAGCCAGACAGACAGACGGCAGCAGCAGCAGCGGCGGCGGCTCATCGGTTCGAGAAAGAACGCAGGGCTCCCATTCATTGAGCCGGGACTTAAGACAAGCCGCTTGTGCCGGGGGGGCGGCCTCCATCCATCGTAAATCGACGTCGTTCGGCCTTCACAGCTGGAGCGGCTTGCTTGAGACTCGGTGTCGATATTCGGTGCCGCGCGCGCATCCCCATTCATATCGGAGGTGTTGTCTTCGTCATTGTTGCGCAAGGCAGCGGGTTTGCAGCAGTCGACGTCGGCGCGGGGTTACGGGGAGCGAGACGCAGAGACAGCATAGGCAGATGCACGGAGGCACGCGCGAACACACACACGGAGACGATCTTACACACACGGAGACGATCTTACACACAGGGACACGCAGACTAAGACCCCCCCCCCCGTATAGACAGGCAGACATACAGGCTGTTGGGGCAAGTGCTGTTAGCGAGAATTACACACACTGCCTTCTCTCTCACACACCCACTCTCTCGCGCACACATTCACACGCGCATACATAAACACACTCTCTCACCCACACGTACAATCACACACACACCCATTATTACACACCCTATTACACCCTGTCACACACCCACACTCTCACTCAAACCCACTCACACACACTCATCCTATCTCACACACACACACCATCTTGATATCACGCATCCACTCATACCCTCTCACTCACCTTCTCTCTCTCTCTCACCCACTGACACTCTCACACAATCACCCTCTCACACCCCCAAACTGACCCACACTCCTACACACACCCACACACTCACTCACCCTCTCTGACACGCACTCACCCACTGACACACACACACTCACCCTCCCACTCACCCACACGCTGCCTCTCTCACACACACTCACACCTCTCACACACACACTCACGCACCGACATTCACACACACCCTCTCACACCCATACTCACCCGCTCACACACACACTCACCCACTCACACACTCACGCTCTCACACACACACTCACCCACTCACACACACACTCACCCACTCACACCCACACTCACCCACTCACACGCACACTCACACACACCCACTCACACCCGCACTCACCCACTCACACGCACACTCACCCTCTCACACCCACACTCACCCACTCACACACACACTCACCCACTCACACACACCCACTCACACCCGCACTCACCCACTCACACGCACACTCACCCTCTCACCCACCCACACTCACCCACTCAGACCCACACTCACCCACCCACACCCACCCTCTCACCCACATACTCACCCACTCACACACGCACTCACCCACTCACACCCACACTCACCCACCCACACCCACACTCACCCTCTCACCCACCCACACTCACCCTCTCACCCACCCACTCACACACACACTCACGCTCTCACACACACACTCGCCCACACACACTCACCCACTCACACCCACACTCACCCACTCACACGCACACTCACCCACTCACGCACACCCACTCACACCCGCACTCACCCACTCACACGCACACTCACCCTCTCACACCCACACTCACCCACTCACACACACTCACCCACTCACACACACCCACTCACACCCGCACTCACCCACTCACACGCACACTCACCCTCTCACCTACCCACACTCACCCACTCACACCCACACTCACCCACCCTCACCCACCCTCTCACCCACATACTCACCCACTCACACACGCACTCACCCACTCACACCCACACTCACCCACCCACACTCACCCTCTCACCCACCCACCCACACTCACCCTCTCACCCACCCACTCACACGCGCGCAGTCACCCACTCACCCACAACGCGCGCGCGCGCACCCCGGACGCAGCAGCCGCCGCCGCGGACGCTTGGATGGTGCAGAGGGCGGAGGAGGCCGCGGCGATGAGTGTCGAAGTCCCCGCGGGGCTCACGGAGCTCCTCCAAGCCTTCACGGTGGAGGTGCTGCGCAGCCGTCCCGCGGACCTGCTCGACTTCGCGGCGGCGTACTTCGCCGAGATGCGCCAGCGGGCCAGGGAGCGATGCGGGGCTCCCGCGCAGCAGCTGGCCGACGGATTCGACGATGCACACGGCCGAGGGGTCAACTTTTCCGAGGAGAACGTGGCCGGACACTCGTCCAACAGCGACAACAACGGGGACGACGATCGGGACGATGACGACGACGACGAATCCGATTTCGAAGGTGCGGTGATTGATTGATTGATTGGTCGCGAGATGCCGGTTGAATGATTTGTGGTGTCAAGCCGAGGGTGGTTGTTTTTTTTTATATCACTAACCGGGAGCTCCATCCATTCATTCATTCGCCCATTCATTCATTTATTTGATTCATCCGATATTCACGCAGCACTCGTTTCAGAACGTGTCTTTGTCGATTCGTGCAAGATCATCACGATAACAAGAACGATGATGTTCAATATCACCAACTGTCGTCATCATCGTTATCATCATCACCACCACTGTGGCCATTATCATAGATTTTGGTCATTACCATCAGAATCACCGCCATCGTCATCATAATCATCACTGTCGTCATAGTGGTCTTCACCATCGTCATTGTGGTCATAATCATCATCACCATCATCATTACGGTAATTTACAACGACAAAAGGCATCACAACCACGATCAGCAGAAGCATTCGCACAAGGGGCATGGATGTTATTATGCCAGTGACGTACATCGTTGGCTGGGGGTGTTGATACATTTTTGCTGGTGGAAGACAAATATTCTCCAGCGTTCGGGATACCCAGGTGTAAACATCACGCATGCTTCATTAACGTTGCATGCACTATATTTGAATTGTGCTCATTAATTCGGTAAACGTATTTGACAAATTACATAATGTTCCGTTTGTTGCGCACATACAAAGACAAAGGTGCCTCGTATAGCCTTTACTTGTGGGGCAAGTGCTGTGAGCGTGTAGCACCTACGAAGGCCGGCACGGCACTCGAGGGCACTCGCCCGGCCGCCTTTGTCTCCCAAACAGTGGATGTTTACACACTGCGCCAGTTAATCATTTGAGGCTGAGTATATCTAGCGGAAGCGCAGGACTGGTTCAGATAATCGTAACCGGTGTTGGCTGTGAACGTCAATCGAACTCCGGTCGCCGGGTTCGTAGCGCAGCGCTCCAACACCTGTGCCACCGCTCCAAACAAAGAACAGTATTTAGCTTTAACGGAGTGTTAGTGCAAGTGCTGTTCGCGAGCACCTGTAAAGGTCGGCACGGCACACGAGGGGGTGGGTGGCCAGCAACCACACCCGGCCGCCTTTGTCACCCCAGTGGCGACGTTTACTACACACCGCACCAGGTACTCGTTTGAGGATGAGTCGACGCAAGTGGAGGCCCAAGACCGGTTCAGATAATTGCCACTGGTGTTGGCTCCCCACTCCCATCCCACACACGTTTGATTCCAGACACATCGCATACGATGTGACATTATTGTTTACTATCAGTATAGTCCAACACAGACGCACACAATCACAAATCGGTATCTTGTGAAATGTTTCAAAGCGGAATTCTTCCGATGCAGCCATTCCACGTGTTCAGTGAATGTGGAGGGGAAAGGAGGCAAATAACGAACATGAATATATCTGCGGGTATTACATTTACTTTCCAGTCTTTTCCTTAAGACCATAATTCAGTTCATCACAGCTGTATTATTAATATTATGATTTGGTTCAGTGCGTGTGTGTGTGCGTATATACACACACACTTTATATATGTATTGTTTCGTCTTGATTCCGTTGGGAGTCAGGATAACCAATGAACCCGCTTGCATGCGATCATTTCAGCAGAATGCATACATAAACGGCACTGCAATTGTTCTGCTGTAGCTACACAAAGCTGAAGAGGACACAATAGCCCTAGTGCACTCATAGCTGAGTGTCGGTCAATTACCAGAATCAGAATATTTATACTGGAGGAAGCCGATGAGCTAGAAAGCTTCCTTTGTTAGATGTCCAGTAGTACGAATGTACGTACAGCACATATCTGCAACGAAACCGTCCGGTTGAGAATGATCTCCCTTACATTACATTAAGGGACATCATTCCCTTACATTAAGGGACATTATTGCTGCTTTAAAATCACCATGTGTCGTGGAGCATTGTGGGTAAATATATAAATACAATTTGCTTGCTCGCGTCACTGTTGATGAAAGAGACTCCACTAGAAGGAAGCTCTGGAGAGCTCCTCTTCTGTGGGGATGAGAGGGGAGTGTTTGGTCTTCTCTTCAACGTTGACCAGTTGTCTGGGACAGGAGAGTAGGCCCCATACGTCACTCCACCACATCCAACCTGCCGATCGACTAACCGCGTTGTCACCAACTTGTACGGCCGGCGTGGACAGAGGCGGGACATATAAGGAACGTGCACTATAGTTTAAACTGCCGCGCCCGGAGAACGAACCGGCGACCGCACTTGATCACAAGCCCCGTGCGATACCCCGTTACGCCGTGGCCGTATCTCTATTCGGATGTACACGTGAAATGAGACAAGTGGATACAGTTGTTTAGTTCATTAGTCACAATGCTGCACAACATCGCATGTGCTTGTAACGCTTGATTGATTTTGGCTTTCACTGGGGCCCTGTGTGGTGGACGGGAAACATCTGTGGACCCTGCAGCATGTTTTGAACAAGCATGACTGCTGATCAGATCCTGAGGGTAAAAAAAAAACTGGTAAAGAGCCTGCTTGTGTAACCACATGCTGCTCAATAATATTGGTCTGACAAGTCTATTGACTGAATAACTTGAGACAAAAACCCAGTAGAGTATTGCCTTTTTTTAAGTGGAGAGATGCACGGAGTGATAATTAATTATTACACGTCGGGAATAAACAATTAATTCGAGACCCAAATATCACCCGCCCAAGCTTTGGTATTCCTCGAAGACACTGGTGGTGTGTAACCATCAACCGCATCAGAATATCAAATGGTCGAAGCGTGCATCTCCTTCGTCCATGGAACATTAAAGACAACCATGGGAGTGCGATTGTGGCCATTCAACTCAAGCATAGAACCACTGAAGCTCCTTCAACGGAGGTGTAATAGCAAAACTACACAAACACTCTCCTGAAGCCCTCTCGTGGCTAGCAGACATCAACGTTGGCATTTAGCTCCTGAACATGTTGTTGCCACCATACGCATGAATTGCATTTATTACGGTAGGGTGGAGTGGTGGCATAGTGGTTTGTGCACTGAACTATGAAGCGGCCTACCTGAATTTGATTCCCGATCACTGCCAGCATCGGTGGCAATGATTCCTAAACCAGTGATGAGCACCTCCTTGATCAACCCGCATTGACCAGCGTGGTGAAGTATGGTTTTACACAAAGTCTACATATTAAGAGCTGGAGGGGGGGGCTGTAAGATTTCTGCAGCTACCTACTTATTGCATACTTGACTCTGCTGATGATATCCAGAAGGTCGAATCCGGTCCAAAGTTTAATTGCTTGTTTAAACAAACGCTGCTGGATAATATTGCTCTGGAAGGGTAGCGGGCTGATGGACTTTAACATCGTGCAGACACAGAAGGGAGGTCTGTTTTATACCTGTGTGTTATTTCTTCTTGCGCGGAATGTGTGGAAAGCACACACAAAGCTCACACACACACATATTAAAGCACACACAAAGCTCACACACACACATATATAAAAGTAGCATTGTGCGCCGGAGTGAGATGGCAGTAAATGAATCTAGGCCAGAATCCAAACAGGTATTCCTTGTGTCCTGGAAGCAGGACGTGACCCATAAAACACTGCACACGGTGCGCGTTTCCACCGAGCGTCTTGTTGATCCGTGCACGATGCACAGTGTTTTTGTACGTGCGCCGACGAAAGTGTCGAGTGTTTACGCAACGGCATGTTACCGGTGCAAAAACGTAATTCACGGTAGATTTGTTTTTCTTCTGTAATTTCGTTTTTCGCGTCGTCGCTGTACAAATCCATTAGGCGTGCTCTTCCATTGAATTCGGCACGCGAGTGGCGTGCCTCCAGTATAGCCGCACGACAGGCAAACGATGGCCATTATGCCGTGTGTGATGAATGCCATCTGTTCATTCTGATCTCGTTTTCCAAGAGGTGGGAGTTGTCCTCTGAGTACAGTTTCCAATCATGTCACGTCCTCATCCCAGATGAGGGAAAACCCCCGCTCGACCTCTCTCGAACTCTCTGCGCCTTAGATTTTATCTGCACACTGTCTCCTGTTCGACCGCATCTGGCAGACTCACACAATAAGCGTAGATTCTGGGCATCCATGTGAAAACGGGTTGGGTAAAGGAGGGAGGCTTTGAGCTACCTGGTAGGTCCAAAATAATATTTAGCCTCACAGCAGAAATTTTCACAGTGGGTAATGGCTTATCGAATTGATAATCATACTTGGGTTTGATGTGGTTCCCATCTCCACGAGAGGGTAAAATATATCGGGATTTTAAACCTAAACTTCAACAAGGGCATGGAGTCGTTCAGACAAGACTGCAGCACAGAAGAAGAAGCGACAGCCCATTGAGTAAAGGTTGACTGGGAGCTTCAATATAAAGCCTTGGTTGTATTGAAGAGAGAAGATTGAGGTGAGAGGGATGCAGGGGGCGAGACCATGGAAGATATTAAAGTTAGTAAGTGTGATCTTGAAATGTATCCAGATTTGTATTGAAGAGCCTAGTGAACGGATTGGAGTATCGGTCCGAGAGAGCCTCATTTATGGGTGCAGGTGAAAAATCTGGCAGTGCGATTTTGGATTGTCTAAAGCAGTGGTTGGCCAACCTGTAACAAACCAAGAGTCAAAAAATACCCGTGAGTTCTGCAAAGAGCCAAATATATGTGTATACATATTGACAGTTTTCGGCACAGCACGGGAGACATTCATTATTCTTTGTTACTGTAATAATTATAATACGTGCTGCGCTATGCCCCTTCGATAGAGCGGCATGTGGTGGATTAAAAGAGACGCGTGCGGCTCGGGAGACGCCAGTTGGCCACCACTGGTCTCAAGTTTGGAGAGGAGGGATTTGGGGAAGCAACAGTGAAGTCGGGATGGGACGAATGCATGGATAGGGGTCTCAGTGGCGGCTGTGACGAGGAAATGGCGGATGAGGGAGATGTTACCCAGATGGAGGTGTGAAAGCCCTGCAGAGTTGAGTTACACTGTGTGTGGGGAGGGAACGAGAGCTCGGGATCAATGATCACTG